AGGAGTAATTGGAGTCCTTTTCTGGAGACTCCCACTCTGGAGGTCAACATATAAAACGCATGCAGCTAAAAAATTCATGCAGAGTTAAGGAGGCAGGGCAAAGCGTCACTGGGTGATTTCCAAAGCAAAAGCCCAACCAGGATCCCCTTCACAGACCTCAGATGGAATAAGATCAAAACTGCCAGCAGCATCTCAGTGAATCTGTGCATCTTTGAAGATGATGCAAAATGAAAAGCAAGAAAATGCAATTTATTTTCAATGTGTTTAACTGGCCTCTGGTTATAAATTTAATCAAAATCATCGTCCCAGGTAGAGCTGAAGACGCTGCCTGGGAGCGATTGCAAAGGCAGTTAATTAATTAAATTGTGACCTTCTTGCGGTCACAACTGTCATTAAGGTTTAAACAGACGTGTGAGGAAACTAGGTCAGGCTGTGCATAAAGGATCCCCCTCTCTGAGATGTCTTTTATTGTATAAACAAAGAAAAAAAGCAGTGTCACATGTGGACTGATTAGAATTACTCCAAAATGCAGCAGTTAACCTGGATAAATTATCTACAATCCATAGAGGGAGAAAAAACAAAAACAGACCCGCCACAAAGTTCACTTTCAGACATTTACTATTTTCCTTTTAGATCTCTATACTCACCCCATACTCAGATGATCTGGATGCTGATTTTATTCCTTTCAGAAGTCTGTCTGGCCCGCTTTCTCCTCTCCAGAAAAGCCTGACTTTCTTCCTGAAATCCTTTTCTTATGTTACATTTCTAAAGAGTGAAATCACAAATCACTTCCGACTTCAGATTCCCGTCGTTTCCCCCCAAACGGTACTTCTCTCCTCTGAAGTCAGGCAGTTGTACTCCAGCCTGTGTGCCTGCCTTACGTCCTTTGTCCGTGGGGTTTCCACGGCCAGGAACAGCGCGGATCCCGTCGTACCCGTGCGTAATTACGCACCAAAAACGTTTGGTTCAGCTCTACGGGCGGAACATAGGCAGGAATGTCGATGAAAGTCGGGCAGCGGACCGCTTCTGGCTCAGACCTCCTCCAGAACTTGTGTGCCGTCCTCCCCTCCCGCTTCTGAGCCCGATCACTGGGATCCCATTCAGCTTCCTCCGAGGGGCCGAGGGGCCCCTTCAGCGCCATCTGACGGACACAATGTGAATTCTTCCAACGCTCTACCTCATGCCAACCCTTGAGAAAGTCACTCTGAAATAAGATCAGTGACAACTGCCTTCATTCGGTACTAATTTATGAGGTGCGGGGTAACATAGACTGAGAGAGATAAAACAGTTAATCATTAAACTTAGAGACTTAGACAAACTTTATTGTCATTTTGTACACAGAGTGTATACAAAACCATCCTGGACATTAATACCTTACATTCTACATTCAAAGTTAGATGGATTCAAATATATTTGAAAACAGAGGCGTAGCCAGAAAGTTTTAATAGGGGTGGCCAGTCAAAAACCAATGTAAACTGAGGGTTGGCCAAAAGCGGAAAGGCGCCAGAACCTAAGGGTCCATGTGTTCCAACAGAAATGAGCAAAACAAATATGGATATTTCCTAAATAAAGACAAACTATACAGTCCTGCTATTTTCCTTTTGATTACAAATAGATGCATATATTTAAACATCCATGCTGTCTAAAAAAAAAGGTATAATGGACAAAATGTCTGGGGCAAGCATCTTTTCCATTTTATTTATCTACAATTTCACTGAAAACTCCTTGATGACTTGCAGAGTGACATCATTTTATCTTTACCCCATATAACACAAAATCAGGGTCTTAAAAGAGCATGGATTCTGTACATATAAACCATAATGATAGTATTTAGATTTGCATAATTAACCACAGCGTTTTAGGTGTGAAGTAACTATTAATATATCATCCATCAATTTTCTTACACACTTATCCAAAGTGGGGTTGCAAGGGGTGCTGGTGCCTATCTCTACGTAGATCTCCGGCTGTCAACCGGCGAGAGGCGGGGTACACCCTGACAGGTCACCAGTCCATTGCAGTTCAACACAGAAACAAACAGGACAAACAACCATTCACACTCACACCTAATTAACCCAGTAGTCATGTTTTTGGACTGTGTGAGGAAGTACCCGGAGAGAACCCACACATGTTCAGGGAGAGCATGCAAACCCCGGGCCGGGAACTGAACCCAGAACCTTCTGTTCTGCAAGGCAGCAGTGCTACCCACCGTTCCACTGATCAGCCCACTATTAATATATGAAAAATAAAAATGTTTAATTAGTTCAAACATTTCTCTTAATAACATTACTGCTGCCACCGTCTGTATTAGAGGGAGATAAATCTTAGGGGTGGCCACAGGGGTGGCCAATGATTGGCTAAGCGTGGCCATGGCCACTGCTGGCTCCGCATCTAGCTACGCCCCTGTTTGAAAACTCCTAATTTAATGTGGCATTGGATTCCTACACAAGTCTATAAATCCTTGGGTGGCCTAGACTTTTTGTTAAGATGTAACAAAATAGAAAAGCTCCCTGTTAAATTATCTAGTTTTCACAAACAACTACTTTTATCCTGGACATCAGTTTATAAGCATAACTTTTCCCCTCATAACTGTTTTATTTGGAATAAGCAAAATATATGTTTCAAGTATAAATCCCAATTTCTTAAGATCTGGGTGGATAATGATATTATATTTGTAAAACAATAGTTTAATGAGAATAGTCAACTGTTTAATTATGGTGAATTTCCTTATAAATATAACTTCCCTGTGACACCTAAGAATTTGTGGTTGTTCTCGGCCCTACTCCAGCAGGTTTGAAATTTCTTATATCAACCTCAGGTAGCGCCCAATTTGCAGAGTTATTTATTGGTAATTCAGATCTGTTCTTTAGCATTAAAACTGGAAATAAAGAAATTAGAGACATCATCCAAAGGAATACTATTAGCAAACCGGCATCAATCTTCTTGTGGAACAATCTTTATTCAGATATTGATTGGGAACATACATGGTTGTTGCCAAGAAAATGTTTTCACTCAAATAAAGTACGGGAGGTGTCCCTTAAAATTCGACACAGGTGTTTATATTTTTCAAATATTGATCCTCACTGTTCCTTTTGTCACATCGAACAAGAAACATTAACCCACCTATTTTGAGAATGCTCTCTCTGCAAAATGTTTTGGTGTGACTTAAACATTTTCTTTACTCTGAAATGTAACATACTTATTCCTTTAAATGTCAAACATGTTTTCTTTGGTATTTCCAATAACTATGTCCGGGAAAGAATATCTTACAAACGTTTTTATTCTGTTGGCGAAATTCCACATACATGCCTGTAAATTTGCTAAAAACAAACCCAACCTTACTGTTTTTAGAGCTCATGTAAAATGTTTTTGGACTCCTTAAAAATGAGCACCAACTCTAAAGCTGTGAAACTTCCAACCCAAGTGAAGCAGTTAATTTGTTAACTGTTTTTTTTTGTTTGTTTGTTTGTTTTGTTTTTTTCTCTCTCTCTCCTTTCTTGTCATGGAATCATGTTGATTTGATATCCCAGCACCTCAAGCATATGAGTGTTTGCAATTGTATATTTTGTATTTGTAAATATAGTTTATTAAAAAAAGAGTATATACAAAATTCGTTCAGTACAGCTCTCAAGATATTTCCATTTCTAAAATGCAGCTCAGTGACTTAAAATATCATTAGTTTTATATTCATTTAAGTTCATTATTACAGACCTTGATCCCTGTATGTTTATAACTTAGAAATAATAACCTAAATCCTCAGTTTCTCAGGAAATTATAGGTTATCACCCTGCTGCATCAATGAGGCATGATATGGAGGCATCAGTCTGTGATCCTAATGACGTAGCCTAGGTTGCTTTGACAACAGACTTCCTCTAATCTGAATTGTTGGGTTTTGTGTCTCTTCTACTCTTTTTGAGAAGCCACATAGATTCTCCTTGTGGTAAACTGTAGGTCAAGGTGGTTTGCAGGCCAGTATTTAGTGATTCCCCAATAAATAATGTTGGTATTAGTGCTTTTGGCCATGTGGGCAAGTGCCAGGTCTGGCTGGAAAATTAAACCAGCTTCTCTATGAAAGCGTCCATAAAGCTGTCGTCAAAGGTGGGAAAAATTGCTGTAATATTTCCTGGTAGATGACTTTGGATTTGATTAAAGTCTGGCTCTGTGCTGAACCACTATTTCTCCAAAATGTATGAACTTGACTTCTAAGTGAAATATAAAATGTTTTTTTATATCTGCAAAGAGCATTTCAGACCTGAGGGACAAAAATCTGTCATTCTCTTTCTCCTTAGCCCAGGTAGAACACATGTGGTTATATCTGGATCAGGGATGGTTTGACATGGCAGTGGTTATCACTATTACTTATGATTCATTTCCTAACATACCTTTTTTGTTCCAGTCAACTTTCTGTTAATATCCTTTGATACAGCAGATTTACAGCCTGTTTGTTCTGCAATGAAAAGGTCCTGTGCGATTTAGCCTCCTTGGAAAGCAAGTCAGTAACTCTGCTGGACAATAGTTAAGTCAGGCACCTGTACCCTGAGAGTGTGGACTATGACTGGCCATAGAAAGACATTTCTGTTTTGAAAGTAATGTTTTTATTGGTCCTACACAACAGTGATTTCCACCCGATGCAACCCTAATGGTCCGTGCAAGGGGTACATGGAAATATTGTATTTCTTAGGCAGTAAAATAAAATAGGACTGGGATCTGTTTTGCTTTGTGAGAAGTTGAAAAATCAAACAAGCTTTTATCAACCAAAAAATATATTTTTCTTTAAGTTCACCTACTGCTTTGACACATCAAAACCAAGCAGAGGAACATCCTGGATGTAGAAAACATTCTGGGATCAGCTGTTTTTCACGCTGAGCTATCAGAGCTCATCAAAGCAGCTCAGGTGTCCTGAAGAAAACAAATAAAACTAATTAAGTCAGTCTGGTTATAATTTCTGTTCTGTATTTTGTTCCCAATTCATGCAGTTTACATGTGATTATAAGGGAGTTACTCAGTGTTATAAATACAGGTTTATATTATGATTTTATTTTGCATTTATTTTGATTCCTTACCAACTTCCAGGTAACATATTTATGCTGGGGTTTTTTTATTAACATTTTTTTTATAAACATGAAATGCCTAAGAATGAAATGCTCAAATTAAAAGATTAAGTAAAATTGCTTTTATTCATGATCAGTTATTTTACGTTCCGCTTTCGGAAAATCAGCAGTACTTTTAACTGAGAGGGGTACTAATGGTAAGACAAAATGAACAAAGGGGTACACAAGTCAAAAAAGGTTGGGAAACACTGCTCCTTTGCAGTTAGCCACAATCATGAAATTCTTATAAATAGATAAATCCTTTTAATACTACATATGTTTATTGAGTCTATATAACATACGAGTTTCACTATTTAAATCTAATTTATTTATATTATTCAAAGTATGTTTTCAGATTGTTTTACTCCTACTTCACTAATAGGCAACTAATTACTAGTCACTAATTAAGGAGAACAATACAAGTCATAGTATGTTTATTTTAGTACCATGAGCAGACTTACACAGTGACATTTCTCTGTTAGGTTTTGTATGTCTGTATAAGCGGATTTAAGAACAAGAAAGATATTGATTCTAGGAACCTTAAGTCAAACTAAACAACAACGTGCAGCTTGTGTTACCTTTTTGAAGGGCACCTCCTCCCAATCAGACTTTGAATTCCTGAATTACCTAATCCCTTTGAGGACTGTGTGTCTTTCAGTCACTAAACCCGTAGTTCAGGTGGTTTTTGGAGTTGTTTTCAGAGATGACAAACATTTTCAGAGCTTCTAAACCGGTGGGAAAAAAGGACAAATTTATATAAAAGAATTCACATCATTATTTTTTTCTTCTCTGTACATCAAATGAGTTCAAATCATTGCTTTATAGTTACAGAGTGCAGGCTCTGGTTAACAGCAAAGTCAGCTGTGATTTAAAATAGCTGCAGTTAAGTTCTGGAGGCTCAAATGTAGTGGAAGAGCTATGGGAGCAGTAATCGTGCTGCTCAGTGGCCTGTTTCAGCGATGCAGCTGACTGCTCCTCTGGGCTGCAGGGAGGCAGTATAGG